GTTAAGCGCTCAGGCTTGTCATCTCACAAACTAAAACCAAGTGCCACGTACCCAGGTACTTGGGTCTACCCGTGTGTGCCACTACCAGAGCCACCACCTCCGCTGTCCCCGCCCACGTCATGTCCCAGTGCCGCCAATGAACGAAAACCCTCAAGTCCCTCACCCACGGCTTCAAAGGAGCTTCCGTCATGGTCCTACGCCTCATGTACAGTACATCGCCATCGTCAGGGCTATCATAGATTATACCTCTCCCGTCCTTGCAGTTGCCTCCCAGCGCGAGAAACTAGACATCGACAAAATCTAAAAAAGGGCGACGAGACTCGTCCTCGGCTGCCCTACGACCACCAGAAAAGAAGTCGTAGTGGGAACTGCTTATGCTCTTCGTCTGCAATCGAAATACTGCTCTTAACACTATCCTTGGTATCAAAGTTCTCCGCACTTACATCTGAACACACTTCTGTGCCGGCCTGGCCTTACCACCCTTCCCTCCCCTTCACGACATAGACTACCCTCACTGCTGCTGACATCCTGCGTTGTCATCTCTACACTGACTCGCCGTCTCTTCCCCTAAGTGCACTCCTCCACCTCTCCTGCCATGGACGCCTCCTACCGTTGATGTTATCGTCCACATCTTCTCTGGTCGAAAATCCACCGAACTGAGCCATATACTCAAACTTATCTGCCTTGAGTGTATAACGATTCTGCCTCCTCTCTCACGTTCTCTCACCCTCCTCTCCTTATCTAAGGTGATAGGTCTGTTGACTCGCTGGCCAGGTCTGGAGCACCCTGTGTAGATCTCTGAGCGCCAGGCCCACACGAAAATCAGAGTTCATGATTGGGTGTCCTCCACAGACACTGAGAGCATAGTCATCCACGCGGGCGTCCATGAGGGCATAACCTAAGTCCGTACTGAACGGTAGGCCCTCCTCCTCATCAGCGACAGCACTTGAACGCCAGCAAGTCTCAAATTCACCTCGCCTTCCTCCCCTGCCGTTCAACATGGACAACTCCTTAATTATCCCTTCTAACCACTTTACTTAAAAAATCCCACATTTCCTAGCATGATGCCTTACTAGGTTGAGACCCAGAATGGTGCGTCAAGCGCGGACCATTAGCACCCCAGGTTTATACCAAGGTTTTACTAACACTGACTATAACTTTACCTGATGTATTGACATACTGGTTAATGACGCAAGGCAGTCTGTTGGAAAGGGTTTTGTTGTTCCGTATCTTGATTTTAACAAACTATTAACGAAAGGTATGAAACCAATTACGTACGTCCTAGGTTCACGTATTATGACTCTAAGATATATTGCAAGTGATCGTGCCATTGTTATAAAGGCGGACATCCTGGTAAGGGGTGACACTATTTATTAAACAAGCATATGAGTTATGGCCAATTACTACATAATAGTGTAAACGAGTCAGCCGCAGGAGCAAAATATTCAGTGAAATGCACGCGTAATGCTCATTGAAGGAACTTGTTGAATTTGACTCAAGCAGACAAGTACAAACAGGCACTAGTCAATCCATTGTTTACCATGATGAGATGTATCAAGTAAAACATGTATATGGAGCAAGTAACAAAATCACTAGATTACGATGTTGTAGCCGCTACACTAAGGTTAGGATATAAGTACCTCTGGCAATATGTTCGTCAAGCAGATGTGAACAAAACTAAATATAAAGAGTGTGGCCAGACATATGGCCACACTCCAACACTGTGTCCTCGACTGTGTGAAGATAGAACCCTTTGGGGATAGGTCCAAGTACACTGTGTGTGAAATGGCACAACACTTTATCTCTCACCGTAATATAGCTGACACATTAAGATTGCATCCACCTTTTTTGAACGCGGTAGACATATCAGTTACAATGTATAGACCCAAACACACAATGTGTTGGAATACTTCTCAGGCAAATTTAGATAACAAAGTGTGCGGCCAGACATACTGCCTCACACTCCTGTATTCGTGCAGTTGCGAATAAGTCATCCTTTATGTACAGAACTAAACAAACGATGTATTTGAAATACTCTGTAACATTCAATACCATAATATCCTGACCACTGGGATCTGTTGTACACACAATTTGTGACCTCTACTCTACCCACAGGGTGCACAATAAACTGGCTGCTGTACGTAGCAAAATTCAAAAAATCAATTGAAGGAAAAGAACTAAACTGACTTATTAGACTGTGCGAGAATGCCGAGAATTAACTACGGTATTTGAACAGGAGGAGAGGAAAGCTCTTTTACACATTCCTAAGATAGCCAAGTGAGGCAAGAGAATTACGAGTGTCTCTCTCTCTCTCTCTCTCTCTCTCTCTCTCTCTCTCTCTCTCTCTCTCCATCCTTTTACATCTTGACCACACCCCACCCCATCACATCACATCTCTTGGTCACGGTTAAGAGATCAAGAGGACCTCAAGGGGCAAGTGTAACCCAAGTAAACACAGTTATAGAGAAAGTAAACCCAGCCCGTTGTAAGAGTTGCCCACCTGGAAGTGTATATGTCCATGCCAGTCTGTCCACAGCACACAGAGGTCGGCGCCCATCAGGTCACCACGGTCGGAGAAGCCCAACGCCAACCAGGGCTGAGGTGCTTTCGCTCGGGAGTGTACCTCGAATTTAACCTCTTCTCCAGGGTAGTCAACCCTCCAGTAGAGGTGGTGGGTGTCATTCAGGTCAAGAGCCACGTCATATATAGACGACAATTCGTGTTGAGGCGGAGTGGCACAGACAGCAGCCACCAGCAGCAGTAGGAACCGCCAGGCCCCAAGCCGATTCCCTTCACGACGAGTCTTCATGCTTGACTGAGAGGAAGGACCGGGCGCTTGGAGGAGCCGGGAAGCAGGCTGGTGCAGTGCGCAAGCGTTTAGCCCGTCCCGCCCACCGCCTGCCCTCATTCCGCCCACTGTCTGCCTTCACCCCGCCCACTGACCCAGTCACCCACAAGCCATCCATTCTCCCTTAACTATCCAGTCCTCCAGTTAGCTTTAAATTCCACCTTCTCTCTTGTCTAACAAGATGACGACACCTCAGATCGTGTGTCAGTGTATATCGAATAAATTGCAACTAGGCAGATTTTCAAAGACCTTAAACCAATCTTCGTAGAATAGTTACAATAGTTTACTATGCGGTAACCTGAGATAATCAACAGTACACAACCGCGACTACAGTATATCTTAGACCAGATTTGTAGAGGTGTTAACAGTTGACCACGTGTCATCATGTCCCCGACTGGTTTTGAGAAAGTGTTTGACCTTTAGGTCACACTTGTTTCCCGGGAACTGTGGACCTCGTCCATCACCTCATACAAACTTCCTCTAAAATCGCCGACATAGGCGATTTTACCAGATTGGGTGAACAGTACGTGTGGATTGGGAGACGATTAGTTATATTTCTGGCTATGGTCAAAGAGGTCTCCAGAATTGCCACAAACTCCACAGTTTGTCTTGGGTGACCTTACAGTCGGCAACGTTACCATAACTATTCCACACTTTAATAATAACATTTAGCAAAACCTATAATGTATTTTTTTTTAGCTGATGGTACAAGCTCCACTCCCCCTGCAGCTCATTGGCCCATATTTAATGTTTGATTAATATTGATATATCGTAAATAAATCCATATATTGAGGAGGAGCACAAGGAGGAGGGGTGAAGGAAAGTGATGTACATGTGGAGTAGGTGAAGGAAAGTGATGTACATGTGGAGTAGGTGAAGGAAAGTGATGTACATGTGGAGTAGGTGAAGGAAAGTGATGTACATGTGGAGTAGGTGAAGGAAAGTGATGTACATGAGGAGTAGGTGAAGGAAAGTGATGTACATGAGGAGTAGGTGAAGGAAAGTGATGTACATGTGGAGTAGGTGAAGGAAAGTGATGTACATGTGGAGTAGGTGAAGGAAAGTGATGTACATGTGGAGTAGGTGAAGGAAAGTGATGTACATGTGGAGTAGGTGAAGGAAAGTGATGTACATGTGGAGTAGGTGAAGGAAAGTGATGTACATGTGGAGTAGGTGAAGGAAAGTGATGTACATGTGGAGTAGGTGAAGGAAAGTGATGTACATGTGGAGTAGGTGAAGGAAAGTGATGTACATGTGGAGTAGGTGAAGGAAAGTGATGTACATGTGGAGTAGGTGAAGGAAAAGTAGGAGGTTAGGAGGAGTCGAGGTGGTTACCGTTTGGGATGAGTTAGAGGGAGAAGGAGGACATGATGGAAGTAAATAAGAAGAAGAGCAGGAGGCAGTTAAAGAAAGGAGTGAACAAAGGAGGAGGAGGAAAAAGAGGGAATGAAAAAAGAAGGAAGAATAGAAAGAGCAGTAGGAGGGAGGAGTAATGAGAGAAGGAAGGAGGAGAGAGTAAAGACAGGAGAAAGATAAAGGGGAGAAGAGAAGGAGGAGGACATGAACCAAAAAGGGGGGGGTGAGGAGGTGACTAAAACAGGGGAAGTAAAATGAGGTTTGTTTTTCCTCTCTCTCTCTCTCTCTCTCTCTCTCTCTCCTTAGAAATTATCCCAACCTTCTAGAAATAATCTCCCCAGCTCCTCCTAGAAAGATTTATCTCCCCCACAAACTATTAACCCATAACTACTGCACTACATCCGGGTTCCTGTTCTGTCCGTTCTTAATTAGTGAGAAAAGATTTGTGGAGTACCTGTAGAAAGCAACCCCCCTCTACCCCTCCCCCACACCCCTATCTTACTTCACCTGATGATTAAACACCCTAATGCTGCTAACTGGAGGGTTAGGTTCGTGTTAAGTTAGGTTTGGTTGTGTTAGGCTGGTTTAGTTTAGGTTAGCATTTGGTTTTTAATCACCAGGTAAAATAAGCTGGGCGTGCCTAATCTTCAGGTAATTAAAACTTACACTCGGTTTTGAGTGTTAATTACCTGCCTGGCGTCTACCTGGTTCACCCCAACAGGTTCATCCCCACCACAACACACCTCATTAAACTGTGATATTCCTGGGATCACCTGAAGCCACTCAACAAGGGTCAGGTACACACGCTCCAACAAGTATCTTCGTGACTTTGTGTCAGACAACATGACACAACGGCCAACCCTACCGAGACAACAGGACCAGAGTTAATATTTAATTCATCAAATCACTCTGTAAAGATACCTTCTGGGGGTGTGTGTACAACAGTAAACTGAGAAAGTTTTCATTTCTTCAACTGGGTAAGACGCTGTAACAGGGAGGTCTGTTGTACTTGGTTTTCATGTGCAAGAAATGGTGACGGCGCATGGGATTACAATACATAGCTGACAGATGCGGTGTTCTGCCTTTGGATAGATTATAGTCTGTAGCCTCCTCATAAAACTTAACCATCTCCAGCATGTCTCGAAGTATGGTACTTTCGTAGACACCAAGTGAAGTGTAATCTATCTGACTTTGGTTCGTTACCTGGGACATAAAGTACAGGTGGAATCTTTTCACCTGGCAGTTCCATCACGTGACATTTGCTGTTAGACGCCTCCAGTCGCTGGGTGGCTGTAGTGTACTGTACAGTACGTGTGACACAATTATGTCTGTTCAAATGCGTCAGGTAAAGTGAAAACCCTTGCACTACGTCTTAAGTATGTGAAAAGACTTGAAATTATTAGTATTTTCTCAAGTACACTTTGTTAAGTAAAAGTACCGTACTTAAAATTTGGTAGATGAGTACCAAGTAAAACTAAGTACTTGGCCCCATGTCTGCTTGAGGGCTAGATTAGGTTTGGCTGGATTAGGTTCGATCAGGTTAGGTTAGATTAGCTCAGCATAGGTCAGGTCTGGTTGGATTGGGTTAGATTAAGGTGGTCTAAATGGAGGTGCAGTCATCAAGGTGATGGTACGGTCTGTGGGCTGGACACACAAACAGTGTGGTTGGTCTGGAGCCACACGGGGAAGCTCTGCTGTAAAATTTACATGAAACTGAAACTGTTAATTTACATTCTACTGGCTTAGATTTGGGGGCGTGATGGCCGAGTGGCTACAACCTTCTCCTGACAGGTCTGCTCCCTGGGTAGCCCTAAGTCCACCCAGCTGGTACCTAAGCTTACAGGCGGGGATGTGAAGATGGTCGAGTAAAGTACCTCTAGTCTACCTCTGGTTTATGGTGAAGCATCGCCACGTGAATTATTGATTAACCGGACTGTTAGTGTCTGCAGGTCGCGTGCTAACATAACGCACAAGACTCTAAATAAACCAAGCATTATATCCAGAAAATCATAAGATAATGATGTTTGTTGTGGTTAAACCTCGGTGTTATTGTTGTGGTCATGGGTAGAGCGGTGCCACTGTCAACACCAGGTAGACGCCAGGTAAACTAATACCGAAGTAGAAGCAGTGTGTGTATAGCAACTGTTGGTGGTGATGGGCGGTGTAACAACATCTGGTGGTGGCAGGTGCGTTTGGCTGCCTAACCTAACCAGACTAACACTTTCCCTCCTACCATTAATTTTAGTCATTAATATTTATAATATCTAGTCACAACTCTGCACATGGGTGGCATAGATAAGATGGTCGTTTATGCACTGGGATCTAGGCAGTAATGCAATCCGGCCCTGTCTATGCAACAGCGCAGCCATCTCAAGGACTCACTCTGCTCACCCAACATGGGGAGGGGGCGAGAAAAGATGCCCTAAACATAGCCTGCCTAAAAAAACCATCCTGACAGAGCAACCACATCTAGTAAGGTCATCCTTATGCTGTCGAAAACACAATCATAATCACAGATTATACAATCTATACAACCTCTTATGGTCGCTGCATGGAATGTCAGGACCCTTGTGGATACTTAGCACAGATGAGCGTCCTGAAAGAAGAACTGCCCTTGTGACAAAAAAGCTGGCTAGGTCAAACATCGACATAGCAGCCATTAGTGAGTCCCGGTCCCAGACAAAGGTCAACTCACAAAACGGGGTCTGGTTATACCCTGCTGCAGAGAGAAACTCCAATCATGGAGTTGGCTTTGCCATCCGCCAATGAATACTACAAAGGCTAACTGAAATGCCTGTTGGGATCAACGAGCGCCCCATGACGCTCTGAGTCCCACCGAATCATTCACTTCATGCCTTCTTCCTCAGTGCATAGGCCCCAACACTGGATGCAGAGGATGACATCAAGGAGAACCTTTTATGCCGACCTTGACGGAGTGCTAATCTTTATCCCCAGAGAAGACAAGGTTGTGATCCTAGGTGACTTCAATGCTACAGTTGACAAAGATGCTGACATTTGGCAGGAATCATAGGGAAAATGGACTAGGCAAGAGTAAACCCAATGGCCTGCTCCTCCTCAACAAGTGTGCTGCACACAACCTCACTATCACCAATACCTTATTTAGGGAAACCAACAAGGTCAGGGGTTCGTGGCAACACCCACGATCCAAACACTGGCATCTCATTGGCTACATTATTGTCAGATAGAGAGATCGCCGAGATGACCTCATCATCCGAGCCATACGTGGCTCAGACCACTGCGACATTGATCATCGGCTCGTCAGAGCCAAGCTCTCACTTCACGTCACCCCAAAACGGCAAAGGTAACAAGCCTCCAGAAGAGATTTTATCACTAAGCGTCTGGAGGATTCAGCAGTAGCACATTCCTTCAGAAAGCAGCTCAAACATGGGCTGATAAACAACCTGACAACAAACAACCCAAATCCCAGTGCCAAATAGAACGTTCTCGACATTCTCATGACAAAAACGTGCAGAGACCCTCAGGCAGATCAAAAGAATACACCAGGACTGTTTTGATAAAACTGACCAGGAAATCAATGTGTACTCATCAATGATAAACATGCTGCTTTAACTGACGGCAGAACAAACCTCAGTCTCGAACCAAAGCCGA